AATCTTTTAAGTGTGACAAATATGCAAAAAATTAAAAAAACAGGAAGGGGGCAAAAACCTTTTCACAGCACTGTATAAACACACACACTGTATATATTTTTTACATATTTTTTCATGTATATATTTGTATTCATATAATTTATATATGAATATATTTAATATGTAAAAATAACATATTTATTTGAAATATATACATGCATGTGTGTGTATTTATATATACATAATACACACACACACACATATATATATATATCTCTCTCTCTCTATATACAGTGGGTACGGAAAGTATTCAGACATAGGGAATAGACAACAAGATACATTCCCTATATAGTGAACAGACAACAAACCAGCTTACTAGGTTTTTTTTTGTTGTTTTTTTTGCATATCTGCAAATATGTTGACATACAATCAGTGGTCATGTGTACATGTGTGGTGCGTGAACTTACGGTCTTCTCTGGTCTGTATGTAGAGTACGTTGCTGCGGACACCATCTCCTGCCTGTGTGTAGGCCAGAACCTGAATGCTGTAGTTTGTGAACTTCTCCAAACCCTTCAGCTCCACCTGCTCACGAGTGGTAGTGATGTTCTGCATCTCTCCCCATTCTGAGAGACGTGAACAAATTTTAATGACTCTCCTTTTTTATTGCATGATCATTTACTTACTAATAACAGCAACTAATTTGAAAACATCACATGAGGGAACACAGGAGAACCATGTTTACACATTCCACATACAAAAAAGTATTATTCAGAGGGAGACTAAAATAGTCTGTTTTGCTGGACAAAGGGTTGCTTGTCACTGCTATAGCTATATTTAGCAGACAATGATATTTATGTCCAAATGCAAAACAAACAAAAAGTACAAAGTTTTCCAATGGCTCTTTGGAGATGTTAAAATACCATTTATTTGTGGACATACACAATCATCATGCTTTTAGTAACATCATGCTTTTTTGAAGAAACTTGATTCCTACTAAATACAATTTATTTCAAGGTATATATCAAAATATCATACAGTAGTTTTACCACCTGATATCGTTACTGTGCCAAGGTTCTGCCACAGTATTTTTTTTTGTAGGTGACATAGCCGAATAAACACAAAAAGACCCATAGACTCATAGACTTTTTCTCTCAATTCTGAATGGTATAAATAATATACCCTTACCTTGTCATTACTTTCACATTATTCAGCCCATTTATGAACCATTTTTACAGTTTCAACAAGTTGGCTCAAGTATGCTACCATTCAAATGTTTTCTGCTGTTTAAGAAATTTTTATTCAGTAAACTTGTATTCATTAAAGACACATTACATTTACCAAATTCACATTAAAACATTTAATTTTGTCATAATTTACTCACCCTCACATTGTTCCAAACCTGTATGAGTTTTTATCCTCTGTTGAACTCAAAGAAGATATTTTGAAGAATGTCGGTAACCAAACAGTTGTCAGTAGCTATTGACTTCAATAGTATGGGAAACAAATATGGAAGTCAATGGCTACTAGCAGTGGACACCAACATTCCTCGAAATGTCGTCTTTTGTGTTCAGCAGAAGAAAGCAATTGATACAGGTTTGGAACAACACTTTGACAGGATTTTCATTTTTGAAACTATCCCTTTAAGCATGACTGTTTTCAATATTGATATTCTTGAGCACCAAATTAGCAGATTGATTGAATGATTTCTGATGGATCATGTGACACTGAAGACACTTTCGCCGATTACTTAATCCACAGTTTACTCACTTTATATATAAAAGACAACAACACACACACACACACACACATATACCTGTCCACCCACAAATATACACCCTCTGTGGGTTGGACTGGCCAGGATACAGATACACGGGCGGGCAGTAGGGGGCGCTCTACGGGGACTGCGGCTAGTGAGGGAGTAACAGTAATAGCGTATAATTACTCTGATTGAGCCTAAGTGTCTGGCCCCCACAGCACCCACCTCCATCGGGGTAGAGGGACCAGAACACCACACGGTAGCCCTTCAAAACCCCATTCAGGGTCATCCGCGGGGGCTCGGACCACGTGATAACCGCCTCGTCTGATGTCACCGTAATGGCCCGTACATTCTGGGGCGGCTGGCTGGGAACTGCAAGAGAAAAACGAGAGACGGTCACATAAAAGCAAAGGAAGCGGCAGGAAAATAATTCAGGCACCAATTGAAACAAGATACAATAGGTGAAGTGGAAACCAAAAATTGCAGTGAAAGAGCACAATTACAGTGATATAGTAAAATGACAGTAATAAACTGCAATTGGAGCACTTGGTATGGCACAAGAGCATCAACAACCTTGTAACTACACTCGAAATGAATGGAACAATCACTTCCCGAAGCTGAAGAGAAGTGAAACGTTACTGTTATCTAGATCTTGAGCTGTTTCACCTTCTAAATGCGTTTTTTTTTTTTCCGGATACACTGCAAATGTGGCGGTGGTGATGTGCCAAATTGCGTCTCTGAATAAATAATGGCACTATTGAGGGGACACAGAGCATGTCTGTGTGACTTGCTGGGAGGGAAAAAAGCATGTGCGGACGACAGGATGAAAGGAGGGATAGAGGAGGGATAAAGCTGGCTTGGCTCTATGAGGGAGCAGCTGCAGCTGGCTATCAAAATATCATACAGTAGTTTTACCACCTGATATCGTTACTGTGCCAAGGTTCTGCCACAGTATTTTTTTTTGTAGGTGACATAGCTGAATAAACACAAAAAGACCCATAGACTCATAGACTTTTTCTCTCAATTCTGAATGGTATAAATAATATACCCTTACCTTGTCATTACTTTCACATTATTCAGCCCATTTATGAACCATTTTTACAGTTTCAACAAGTTGGCTCAAGTATGCTACCATTCAAATGTTTTCTGCTGTTTAAGAAATTTTTATTCAGTAAACTTGTATTCATTAAAGACACATTACATTTATCAAAATTCACATTAAAACATTTAATTTTGTCATAATTTACTCACCCTCACATTGTTCCAAACCTGTATGAGTTTTTATCCTCTGTTGAACTCAAAGAAGATATTTTGAAGAATGTCGGTAACCAAACAGTTGTCAGTAGCTATTGATTCAATAGTATGGGAAACAAATATGGAAGTCAATGGCTACTAGCAGTGGACACCAACATTCCTCGAAATGTCGTCTTTTGTGTTCAGCAGAAGAAAGCAATTGATACAGGTTTGGAACAACACTTTGACAGGATTTTCATTTTTGAAACTATCCCTTTAAGCATGACTGTTTTCAATATTGATATTCTTGAGCACCAAATTAGCAGATTGATTGAATGATTTCTGATGGATCATGTGACACTGAAGACACTTTCGCCGATTACTTAATCCACAGTTTACTCACTTTATATATAAAAGACAACAACACACACACACACACACACATATACCTGTCCACCCACAAATATACACCCTCTGTGGGTTGGACTGGCCAGGATACAGATACACGGGCGGGCAGTAGGGGGCGCTCTACGGGGACTGCGGCTAGTGAGGGAGTAACAGTAATAGCGTATAATTACTCTGATTGAGCCTAAGTGTCTGGCCCCCACAGCACCCACCTCCATCGGGGTAGAGGGACCAGAACACCACACGGTAGCCCTTCAAAACCCCATTCAGGGTCATCCGCGGGGGCTCGGACCACGTGATAACCGCCTCGTCTGATGTCACCGTAATGGCCCGTACATTCTGGGGCGGCTGGCTGGGAACTGCAAGAGAAAAACGAGAGACGGTCACATAAAAGCAAAGGAAGCGGCAGGAAAATAATTCAGGCACCAATTGAAACAAGATACAATAGGTGAAGTGGAAACCAAAAATTGCAGTGAAAGAGCACAATTACAGTGATATAGTAAAATGACAGTAATAAACTGCAATTGGAGCACTTGGTATGGCACAAGAGCATCAACAACCTTGTAACTACACTCGAAATGAATGGAACAATCACTTCCCGAAGCTGAAGAGAAGTGAAACGTTACTGTTATCTAGATCTTGAGCTGTTTCACCTACTAAATGCGTTTGGTTTTTTTCCGGATACACTGCAAATGTGGCGGTGGTGATGTGCCAAATTGCGTCTCTGAATAAATAATGGCACTATTGAGGGGACACAGAGCATGTCTGTGTGACTTGCTGGGAGGGAAAAAAGCATGTGCGGACGACAGGATGAAAGGAGGGATAGAGGAGGGATAAAGCTGGCTTGGCTCTATGAGGGAGCAGCTGCAGCTGGCGCAGGAAGAGAAGGAGTGAGTAAAGGAGATGGTGTGGGGAGGGAGGGAGGGAGAGCAGAGGAGAAATGATGGTATTTGTTTGAAGAGGCCTTAGGGTCCGACTCTGTCTGGCCCTGGTGGACCACACTAAAACTGCCATTTAGAGTAGAAAGGCTTGACAGAACGCTCATGAGCACAACTCGCAATAACTCTTCAACCATGCCTGCAAAACCCAGGCTCTCACTCGCTGTTTGGATCTGACGCATAGAACAGGTATATTGGTATCTTACGGGTATATTGGCATCTTGCTTTCCCCCAGCCAAAATTACTTATTTACCCTTTTGTCATTTCAAGCATGACATGAAGTATGACTTTCTTTCTTCCATAAAAGTTTTTTTAAGAATATGCTGGCTGTTTTGTCAATATAATGAAAGTGAATGTGAATTGCCTGTATAATTTGTGCACTATATATCTTCTGTCTAACAATAGGCTTTCTGTATAGTATGCAACAAACAGACAAAATTCAAGTCATTATGCACTGAAAATCTTGACATCCACCCTAAGTCGTCTTGGCACATTCATGAGAGAAGTAGCCATTTCTGATTCATGAACAAATCATTTGTTTGAATCAGATCTTTTCAATTAATCATTCCAAAGATGCCCCTGTGCAGCAAACAAAACCATCCATCTTTGGACCACTTTTCAATGGTGCCCAGATACATCAAACCGACATCAAAGACCTGGCAGTGACGAAAGCCACATGTGGTGTTGCTTCATGTCACCTACATCTGGGACAAAAATTTGCACTTGAACACATCGCAAAGAATATAGCCAACAGCCAACTATTCTATACATTCTACACCTGCATGAGAGGAAATAACTCTCTGTACCAGCATGTGGCAGTAGTCTGTATTTGTCATTCAAAAAGGAAAACCGGAAGAGCTAGGAAGGGTCTTCTGTGTGTGCCCTCTTGACTATGTTTAATCACATCCATTTTTCTGGTGTCTTCTGAAGTCAATCAGTGTGATTTCTCTTGCCAATGGACTCCACTGCTGATTCAATATGCTCAGTTGTTCCAACTAGAGGCAACAGTGCATAACACACCAAAAAAACTAGACTGACAACAACTTGCCAACATTGGTAATTGGTTAATTTTTACTCTAGGTCGACATTTGACCAATGTTTTTCAATTTAAACTGCATCAACAGTCACCAACCAACACCAACAGACAATGTTTGACTGGTGTCATTTAATCATTGTGTTGCCCCTTGTCAGTGCTTGTTTTTGCTGATTGGACATTTTGAATCTTTTTTGTCAGGTCTTGGAATGTCTGAAAAGTGATGTACTGTAATCTGGTGACTGTCTGCATTGCTCTGGGTCTGTTGGTGCAGTGTGAATTAGTCTTTAAAGAAGATGCAAGTGAAAACACCTTAAAGTTGTAGATGGTTTTACATGGTTTCTAGCTGGTCTGGATTGTCAATTGGCTGGATTACCAGAGAGTAGCCTGGTTTTGATCTAATAAACAATCTTGGTTAAGCTGGATTTCTTTTTAGGATATTAGGGTTAGAAGAAAATTAAAACTTGACAAGAACACTATTGATGGAGGTAAAAGCAAAATCATTGGGGGAAAAATGATGGAAGAGCTCAACAGTGGCACAAAAGGAACCCAGGAGCTTTCCAAAAATAAGAATGGAGAAGAAAGACAGTGGGACAGAAGTGGGCGGAGGGGTGGAAAGGGAAGTTGGGAGATGGAGGGAGAGATAAATGAAAGGTGTTTTGAGAGCGAGTGAGAGAGGAGTGGGAGCCGAGAGGAGGGGAGTTGAAAGCCAGAGAGAGGGATCTGGAGGAAAGATGAAAAGAGAGATGGGGAGACAATGCACTCAGCTGCAGATAATTAGATTGGGAGGAAAAGCAGTGGATCAGGGAGAGGGGCCTCGGCAGACAGCCTAATTATAATGATTTTTTCCTATGCTTGTTGTTATTACTATTATCCTTAACAGCATCAATATCGCTAACAGTGACATGCATGTGGATGAGGGCCACGGGCCAGAGTTGCCCTGTACTCACAACTCGTGCACAATCCCACAAAAAGTCTTCTGTGTGTGCCCTCTTGACTATGTTTAATCACATCCATTTTTCTGGTGTCTTCTGAAGTCAATCAGTGTGATTTCTCTTGCCAATGGACTCCACTGCTGATTCAATATGCTCAGTCGTTCCAACTAGAGGCAACAGTGCATAACACACCAAAAAAACTAGACTGACAACAACTTGCCAACATTGGTCATTGGTTCATTTTTACTCTAGGTCGACATTTGACCAATGTTTTCCAATTTAAACTGCATCAACAGTCACCAACCAACACCAACAGACAATGTTTGACTGGTGTCATTTAATCATTGTGTTGCCCCTTGTCAGTGCTTGTTTTTGCTGATTGGACATTTTGAATCTTTTTTGTCAGGTCTTGGAATGTCTGAGAAGTGATGTACTGTAATCTGGTGACTGTCTGCATTGCTCTGGGTCTGTTGGTGCAGTGTGAATTAGTCTTTAAAGAAGATGCAAGTGAAAACACCTTAAAGTTGTAGATGGTTTTACATGGTTTCTAGCTGGTCTGGATTGTCAATTGGCTGGATTACCAGAAAGTAGCCTGGTTTTGATCTAATAAACAATCTTGGTTAAGCTGGATTTCTTTTTAGGATATTAGGGTTAGAAGAAAATTAAAACTTGACAAGAACACTATTGATGGAGGTAAAAGCAAAATCATTGGGGGAAAAATTATGGAAGAGCTCAACAGTGGCACAAAAGGAACCCAGGAGCTTTCCAAAAATAAGAATGGAGAAGAAAGACAGTGGGACAGAAGTGGGCGGAGGGGTGGAAGGGGAAGTTGGGAGATGGAGGGAGAGATAAATGAAAGGTGTATGAGAGCGAGTGAGAGAGGAGTGGGAGCTGAGAGGAGGGGAGTTGAAAGCCAGAGAGAGGGATCTGGAGGAAAGATGAAAAGAGAGATGGGGAGACAATGCACTCAGCTGCAGATAATTAGATTGGGAGGAAAAGCAGTGGATCAGGGAGAGGGGCTTCGGCAGACAGGCTAATTATAATTATTTTCCTATGCTTGTTGTTATTACTATTATCCTTAACAGCATCAATATCGCTAACAGTGACATGCATGTGGATGAGGGCCACGGGCCAGAGTTGCCCTGTACTCACAACTCGTGCACAATCCCACAAAAGAGAAATCCCCAGAACATGACAGATGATAGATAGATAGATAGATAGATAGATAGATAGATAGATAGATAGATAGATAGATAGATAGATAGATAGATAGATAGATAGACAGACAGACAGATAGACAGATATACAGATAGATAGATTACCATCCTCAAGTGTTGTGGCATTGATCTCAGAGCTGGAAGGTCCAGTTCCGGCTCGGTTGAACGCCTGGACCACCACACCATACTGAGCAAACTTCTTCAAGTTATCCAGGGTGTACACCTCACTATCACCTGTGGCTTTCATCTCCACTATACTGTACTGTCCGTTACTGCCCGGTCCATTCTCCCTATAACCAATCTGATAGCCACGGATCACTCCATTCTGGAGCTCTTTCTTAGGTGCCTAAGTGGAGGGAAAAGAAAATTACATATAGTAAGAAGAGAATCTAAAACTCTAAAGCCCAGGTCTTCAACCCTGCTCCTGGGGACCCACTGTCTTGCAATTTTAAACTCTGCAGGACAGTAGGTCCCAAGGAGCAGGGTTGAAGACCTTGGGTCTAAAGTCCAAAGAATGGCAAGTTTAGGAGTTGCAGACATACCTTCCAGGTGACACGGATACTCTGAGAGGTCATTGGCTGTAAAATCACATCCATGGGTGGCCCATCAGGAGCTGTAAATAGAGAATCACATCATATCACAAGAATATTAAAAGAATGAAAAATGTTGTCACCTCGAAGTCATTCCAAACCTGCATGACTTTCTTTTTTTTCTGTCAGACACAATAGGATAATTTTTTAATGATATCCTTTTAGTTACAATGACAGGGGACTAGTACTTTTAAGCTTCGGAAAGGGTACAAAAGGACAAAATTCAAGCATGACATGAAGTATGACACACTCAGATTGTAACCTTTTTCTGTTTTTATGTATCTAATAATAATAATAATAATAATAATAAATACAACCTTTCATATACAAAAGTATAATAACAGTGCCCTATATTATTTAAGTGCTATATTCCAATTATTTTAAGTCCTATGATAGCTCAGTGTGAGAAACAGGCTGAAATTTACTGATAATCTTCCCTTCCGGTGAGCTTTCAACCATTGTAATCAAAACATTGAGTCAGTGAGAACTCGAGAACCAGATCAGTACATTACTGTGGAAAAGAGTGACCAGTAAATTCTTCAAAAATTCATCTCTTTTGTTCCACTGAAAGAAGTAAGTACAGGTTTGGAACTGCATGAGGGTGAGTAGATGATGCCAGATCAGGGGCGGGAGACGTACGTGCTTCCTCTGTGCTGATGGTCAGCTCTTTGCTGGCTTGACTGCGTCCAATCTTGTTGTAGGAGTACATGCGAATGCTGTACACGGATGCCGGGTGGAGCTCCACTATGTTGGCCTGGTTGTTTGTGGGCGAGATCTTACGGGTGGCATGTTTCAGCTCCCACGGGTCTACAACAAGGACAAAATAACACGGATACATTACTACATCACACCTCCATCCAGGCTGTTCGGGGACATTATGTTTGTTAGCATGCAAAAAGGACTGTTTACAGGTCAAATCATACAGATTTGAAAAACCAGCGATGCACTGAAAACTAGGACAAACGCAGATGTACAAACAGCAAAATAAGGCAATACACCCGAGTCGCAACGCCACAGAAATCCGTTCACATCCCATTCATCTTCTCGCAGTTTGAGCTTACTCGCTACATATTCTTCTGACATACAAATACATATTTAATGCACGCTCACAATGTAATTCATCCAAGCTTGAAATGGAAACAAAGCAATGCCGCACCGGATTTGTTCTTGTACTCGATGTCGTAGCTGGTGATGATGCTGTTGCCATCGAACCGCTGCGTCCACCTCAGGTTCATACTGCGATCTTTAACCTCTCGAACCTCCAGCTCTGGGGGGTCAGGGGGTTCTGCCAACAAAACAAGTGGAAATAGACTTCAAACAGATGGAGGAGATTGAGACAGAGAGAGAGGCTGAGGAGTAAGAGGTGGCTCGGGGCCAGGAGGTAAATTATTGATTTTGTGTCTCTAGATAAAGAGTATCATGTAAGATGTGAGTGTGTTGTTCATGGCTGATTGTCTTGCCTTGCACCGTAAGCTGGATGAGCCCTCGGCCCTCGCCGTATGAGTTGATGGCGTGGCAGGAGAAAAAGACGGAATCCCCTCGCTCCGCTGGCTTCAGCTGCAGAAAGAGTAAAAGTGTTCAAGAGAAGAACTTGTTTTTCTCTTTTACTCATTTTGAGGCCCACTTCATGTATTGTTGTGCAATGTACAAGTGTCACTTGGACAAAGGTACATAGTTTGGCATTAAGGTAGGAATGCTGGATGACTGGTTGTTTGTATTCACTACTATGTTATGGTTGGAGTAATTATGTAAATGAGTTTGTCCTTGTGAACTGTTGTTTAGAAATCTTTACCTAGTGTTATCTTTTTTATTTATTATATTTTTTCAAGGGTAAAATAATTATCTTTTTCTGGTTTTATGTATCTAATAATAATAATATTAATAATAATAATAATAATAATAATAAATACAACCTTTCATATATAAAAAGTGATTTGCAAGTGAAAATACGCTATAATTTATTGAAAATAATTAAACAAACAAATCAATATATAGAGCATGTCAAAATATAAAATAAGTTATTATTATTATTAGTATTAATAATAATAATAATAATAATAAAGATTGGATTATAAAACAAAACCAACAAACAAACAAATGGGCTTTACTAAATAAATAAATAAATGTGCTTCTCAGGTCAGAATATAAAATAATTTTAGAGTGAGTAAACAAACAAACAAATAAATGAATAAACAAACAATTAAAGACAAACAAACAAATAAATACAGCTAAATGGGATTTACAGAATGAAATAGAGCATGTCAAAATATAAAATAATTTATTATTATTATTAGTATTAATAATAATAATAATAATAATAATAAAGATTGGATTATAAAACAAAACCAACCAACCAACCAACAAACAAACAAACAAATGGGCTTTACTAAATAAATAAATGTGCTTCTCAGGTCAGAATATAAAATAATTTTAGAGTGAGTAAACAAACAAACAAATAAATGAATAAACAAATAATTAAAGACAAACAAACAAATAAATACAGCTAAATGGGATTTACAGAATGAATGATTGAATGAATGACATATAAATAAACGCTCAGTGAGCTTCTCAGGTCAGAATATAAAATAATTTTAGAGTGAGTAAACTGACAAACAAGCAAACAAACCACAAGAGCAAAAATAAAAGTTGAGAAAAAAAGGTGAAAGTGTATACTACTGTAAACCTGTATGGAAACATTTAGGCAAGCCTCTGCCTTTATTCAACATTTATTGAACTCCTTCACTGACAACATACATATACTGTATGTGTGTGTGCACATGCATCTCACCTTCAGCGTGGAGATAACTTCATCACTTTTCTCGTTGGAATTGGTAGTGATGGAGTACCGAGGGTTACGGTCAGGGTCAATAACGGTGTCACCTCGCTCCCAGCGGATGATGATGGGGTACTCACCCCGGGCGGTACAGTTTAACTCCTTGTTCTGCCCCTTTATGGCCATGGTCGTGTTTGGGTGGGATGTGATCATAGCTGGAACTGTACAAAAAGAAGTTATAGCAGGACAGGAGGTAAATATGTGAAGTAAAAAATTAATTTAAAAAGAGGCAGAGGTCAGTGTGACTTTAACCCGACACCTGCCGTTCTTGTGACATGGGGCAGTGAGCGTTAGCGTGTCTCTCTTCAACTCCTCAATCACTTTTTCACACTCTCCCGCTTGCTCATTCCCCCCGAGTAACTCTTCTCTAGTGCTGCCACACACACACACACTCACAATATCGATCTGAAGAGGGTTCCGCTGTTTTGTTTTCATCACTTATTCATTCCCTCCCTTCCAACGAGTGAAACAGAGAGAATTGAGGGAGGCAGAACAGAGGAACGATTCAATCAATAACACCAACACTGAATCAGAGAGCGCGAGAGAGAGCGAAAAGGAGACAGATCCACTGAAAAAAAAAGAAAGAAAAAAAGTAGGATGCCGTAAACACAGAGCCGCATGATATCCACAGGCTTTGCATGAAAATGTAAAACCATGCTCTACTATCTCTTGTTGAATAACACTGCATAACTTAAGTTGCTGCATAACATTTATCCTAGCAATCCTACTATTACTGTCCTGAGGTTACAAAAACAAGAGCATTTCTTTTCTTTTTTAGTCAAGAACACTACATTACTTTTTTGTGTGTGTGTAGGGGGGGGGGGGGATAATTTTTGCATAATGTTTAATGTTTACATTTTGCCCCAAAATAATGATCATTATTCAATCATTATTATCATTATTAATGATCAATGTCTATTTTGCCCCAGGACGTTTGTAGCATAGATTTTTGCATAAATTGTCAGCAGACTTATGCCGTAAAATTTCGTTCTCAATAAATGGAATGGTAGTAGTTATCGTACTAAGTGATTTATATATATATAATATTCTTATTTATGGTTCCATGTCCATTGATGATAACTATATATTTTTTCTAACAGTTTCTTAAGAAATAACTTATTTTGACACGTGTCAAATACAGTTATAAGCATATATTTATAGTATTTATTTTAATAAAATAACGGTCTGGATACTATAGTTTTACTTACAGTAATAAGGATATTTTAAGCATTACATAATATTAATTAGAATGAGACTAATTTGCATTACATTAATGAGAAATTGAGGTGAAAATATAAAACAAACTAAAACAACATAAAAAATAAAATTAAATACGTTCTCTTTTTCAAATACATCTCTTAGCACATTTCTTAAGATTTAACTGGGTAGAATATTCTGGCTGAGTGTAAATGAATAAACCGGTGGATGAGGTTTGTTTAAATGTGGTCAGGACAGTAACTCAGGCCTAGGCCAGTGTTGCATGGAAGGGAGTTTTCTGCACTCTACATTATGTGAAGGATCAATAATATGGATTTGGACAGAACAGATCGTGTGTCCGATTTAACGATCAGTCATGAGATGGCCTTACGGGTTTGTTGTAATGTTCTATTAATCTAAATGAGCTGGGCACACTTGAATCTGTTGTTTTGGTATTCTTATTGAGAGCTGTTCTCACACACACACACATACACATGCAAGCAGTAACTCCTGGCAATTCTAGCTACTATATAAAAAAAGTCAAAGGCTTGTATTTCTTGCCTCAGTGTGACTGATATATCATAAGCTGGGTCATTAGTTTGATTGACAAAGTGTGACAGGTGCAGGTGTGTGTGCGTGTGTAGAGGTGGTGTGTTGTGTGTGAGTCTGTGTCCACTCAAGCATCTCGAACCCTTCCCGCAGGCATCAGTCTGAGACGTGAAAGCCCATCTGAGGGCCATTCTTAAACAAAGACCTCAAACACACACCATCGCAAACCATCCCAAAGGCTGCAGGTCAAATCGCATCCAAGAAATCCTCACATCTACTGTGACTGGAATTAAAAAATATGGCTTTATTTGTATGTCATGGTTTAATGAGATATTTAACTATTATGGAATCTCTTATATTCAACAGCTATGCCCTGAAACCTGTCTACCTAGAGAACATGTCTAGGCATAAATTAGGCAGCCTTCTAAGGTACCTTGTTTAGGTCAAAAGCAGTACTGTATGCATCCTTCACAAGTGAGAAAATCTCAGAATGTTTATTCAAGATTTTGAATGGAATCAAGGGAAATTCAAAGTTCTTAATATATAAACTCTGAAAACAATTGCTAATTAAATTTTTTAAACAATTTTAAGAACTTGAATTTCCTCTAGTATTAGTGTATTTTTTGCACTTTTTTACAGCAAGTATTGAGACTTGAGCTTATTAAAATATCAATGTCAAAATGTATATATTCTATTTTTAATGTAAAAGTGGGTACAGTCATTTGTAACTTGTAAATGTTCAAGGCTCTTGGGGTCAGTCGTTTCTAGTTATTTTAGTCTTTACAAAAACAGTCTGTAAAATGATTAGTTCACTTCCAGAATAAAAACTTACTGATAATTTGTTCACCCCCATGTCATCCAAGATGTTTGTGTCTTTCATTCTTCAATCAAAAATAAATTAACTGTTCACTGAAAGCCTCTTTGTGGAACAAAAAATGTTTTTTTCCTATCGCATCACTGTGAAAACCCCTTTTTGGAACCTTTATTTTTAAAAGTGTAGATGTACATGTGAGCCTGACATACTTTTAACAGTGAGCATCATGCTCTTGCTGATGTCGGACCCCACTCCGTTGCTGGCCTGACACAGGTAATATCCCCGGTCTTCCTCTAAAACATGGCGGATCAGCAGAGATCCGTTGGACAGGATCTGTATGCGACCTGTCAGTGGAACTGGATGGTACTGCTGGGGATTCCCTATACCTTCAGAATCAAAATTAAGACTTATCATCTGCTCATGATAACTTGAAATTTATGTTTTGGACATGCAGTGACAAAAATAAATAAATAAAATATTACCTTTGGCATGCTTCCAGACAACTTTGGGAGGAGGGTACCCTTCCACAGAGCAGTTCAGAACTTCAGACTTGCCGTAGATACCATCTTGGTTATTGGGTTGAACCCGAAAACCAGGGGGAACTACAACAAAGAACATACACAGTTTCAGAAGAGGAGATACCAATAAAGTGGTTTGCCAAGTAGGACAAATTGTTGGTCCAAGACCAACATTAGGTCAAACAAACATAGTCCTAACCCTATCGCCAATCTTAACACCAACCCTAAACTAAATAAATAGGGGCTTTCGGACCGCATATTTCTAGGAACTAGCCAGCATGGTGGTTCCTAGATAACTGATTTCCCCCTTGGGCCATTTTCTTGGTTGCATTCGCACCAGCAGCAGGAACTCTAAAGTGGCCGACAGCGATGTCTTTATTCATGGCATTTACAAACGTCAACAACTGGTGAATGTTGGACACCGTGATTGGAGCTGTTTTTGTTGTGTGTTGTGGGTTTCGTGATAACGGAGATGAAATGTAAATGCACAATTTACAAGAGCATGAAAATCTGACTAAATCTCCTATGACAACTTGGAGCATTACATTTAATCAAGGCTGAGAAAAGAACATAACACTGCAGACAATAGGTAAGTAAATGCCATTATCGCTGTTTTCCGTGTTCATGAAATAGTTATTTTTACACGGCTTTTTACAAATGGTGGGTTGCCGGTGTTTCGTATTCGTTTGACCAATCAGGGGACACTTACGTCACTGGTAGTTCCTATAGAACTCTTTTAGACCCTACTCTGAAGTAGGAGCTTATTTAGTTCCCCAAACGGAATTCCTAGAAATAAATACATTATGGAAATACACTATGAAAAGGTTAGTCTGGTGCGAATGCCCCTAATCTGGTCCAGAAATAGTCCTAAATGGTGAAATCATGCTGAGAATCCCGTACTACATTGCCGTAAAACCCTCACTCTCTTGCTCACCTGTTACTATGAGTTGTCTCTCTGAACTGACAGTTGCTGCATCATTGCTGGCAATACAGGTGTAGTTTCCATTGTGCTCCAATGAAACTTTGGAGATCTGAAGGGAGCTCATGAACTCCTTGGTTTCGATGGTGACTCCTGATGTTCCTGACACAATCTCCTGCCCATCCTTCCTCCAGGTGATCCGGATTGGCATGTCTCCGGAAGACACCACGCAAGCTATGTACATCAGCTTACCGATGGAGGTGGGAGGGAAGTCAAAGGGCTGGATGAGGGGAGGAACTGAGGGAGGAAAAGAGCAAGAGATCTTCAGTATCAAACGCTTCATGGTCTCCAATGATGTACTGACCCCCGTCACCTTCCAAAAATGGACACGCGCATACACGCTCACACACATCCCATCCCTCCAGCCCATAATAGCTGCTCTAATTAGAGCCCAATTGGCATGGGGAATAATGGCATTGCCATGGAAACAGAGGTGGGGGGCTCCATCGGAGACATCTGGGGGATTTAATCTGGGGCTCGTTCAAATTCAGCTAATTAAATCAGAGACATGACAAGACAAGCAGCACACTATACTGACTTCACACTGGAGTCAGTGTTCTGTTGTACCAGTACACACATACACACACGCATTCATGCAAATGCACACACTAGACCTCGCTGTCTTTGTACAGGGAGCTGTAGCCCCTTGTATGGACACACATGTTGAAGTGAAAATTCAAAACCCAACATCAGTGCGACCTCCCTTTCATTTACATTTAACATACTGAAAATAACACCCCCAGATACATACACATGCTAAGTACACTGGGTAATTGATGAATGGTTGTAATGTTGCAGAAGGCCTGTAATCCTGTTAATCAGAGGCTATTTGTGTTGTGCTTTCTCTCAGGGTCTTTGTGCCAGCGGAGGGGAAAGACCATCCTCAACATTCACCACCCGCCTATACAGCTTAAATATACTCTTGATTGAAGGCAACACACACTCCATTTACCAAAACACACCCACTACTACTAGTACAATTAAGTACTGTACAGTGGGCATCTTTTTTTTACTTTATTAAAGAAGCATGTTTTCAAGAAATGCCAAACCTCAAATGGAGGGTTGTTTTGTTTTTGGAAATCCTCCATAAAATTAAGATACCCTGCTGACTAGGCTCAAGTCCAAAAATCCTCTCAGGGTGGCCTCTTCACACCAAATCCAATGTTACTAAATGACATTAAAAAAATAAAGTATTTGCAGTTTTCACACTAAAACAATTTGCTTCAAGCCTATTGTTGAATTTTCTCATTTAACTTAATTATAATAACTTGTGCATTTAGCAGACACTTTTATCCAAAGCGACTTACAGTGCATTCATGCAATACATTTTTTTTACCAGTATGTGTGTTCCCTGGGAATCGAACCCACAACCTTTTGTGGTGCTAACGCAATGCTCTACCACTGAGATTACAGTTAAGTTAAGTTAGTTAATATTATAGTTAAAGGGGTCATATGATGCGATTTCAATTTTTCTTTTCTCTTTGGAGTTGTTATACAAGCTCTTGGTGCATAAAGAAGATCTGTTAAGTTGCAAAGACTAAAGTCTCAAATCCAAAGAGATATTCTTTATAAAAGTTATGAGTCAACCACGCCTACCTAAAACGCCTCATTTACACACGCCACCACATGTCTATGTGACGATGTGGGAAGATTTGCATAACGCAGCCCAAATGTTCACGCAAAGAAAGAAGGCATAACTTTTATTCTCGCTGTAGTATACCAGTATGTGTTCCCTGGGAATCGAACCCACAACCTTTTGTGGTGCTAACGCAATGCTCTACCACTGAGATAACAGTTAAGTTAAGTTAGTTAATATTATAGTTAAAGGGATCATATGATGCGATTTCAATTTTTCTTTTCTCTTTGGAGTTGTTATACAAGCTCTTGGTGCATAAAGAAGATCTGTTAAGTTGCAAAGACTAAAGTCTCAAATCCAAAGAGATATTCTTTATAAAAGTTATGAGTCAACCACGCCTACCTAAAACGCCTCATTTACACACGCCACCACATGTCTATGTGACGATGTGGGAAGATTTGCATAACGCAGCCCAAATGTTCACGCAAAGAAAGAAGGCATAACTTTTATTCTCGCTGTAGTATTGTTGTTGCCGCGGCCGCCATGTCGTGAAGACGCTGTGTGTTTCATTGTGAAAGCGAAACTGCTTTGTTTGGCCTTCCAAAAGAGAACGATATCCTCCGATATCCAATACATCAACTTCGCGCTGTGGATTGTCGGATCGGCTTTCAACATGAACGAAGCGGAGTCCAGCCCTGGGGTCGTCACATGTGGTTGCCGGCCAAATCTGCAAGCCGCGCCGTTCTCAAGCCCGCCGGCCTCCGCTCACTCAAGCCCGCCGTGTGTGACGCTGTGCGTTTCTTTGTGAAAGCAAAACTACTTTGTTTGGCCTTCCAAAAGAGGACATGACTAGGAATCAGTGGTTAAGTTGTATTTACAACACTGTTCCAGAACAGTTCAACCCAAATATTCAGATGTGTGCAGCGCATTTTATGGGGGACTGTTTCCTGGCAGAGTAGACTACAATGCCGGCTGTTCTGACTCACAGACTGTAAGTAAGTTTTCATATTTAAAGAATTTGCCACTGATGATTCAAACGCGAGTTTTGAGCAGTGTAGAGTAGCACTTATTGTTTGTCATTTCTCCAATCACAAATGCAGATTTGGTTTTATGTTTATGCGGCGCGATGCAAAGCAACACATAAAAAGACAGTGTAAGTCATTATAATCCGTAATTATGTCGCCACTGGATGCAACAAAAAATACTTTTTTGCCCCACTGTATATGTGTGTGATTTTTTTTTCTCGCTTAAAAGCCTGTGAATAAACAGCCCCAAATCAAATGTAGAGGGCCCTTCTCTTTTTGTTTTGTTTTGCTTGTGGCTTTTTTAAGGGGCAATTAGCATCCCCAAAATCATTAGCAGTAATCACTAACCTTTGACTGTGACGTAGACAGTCTGGCTAATGGAGAGCTGGGGTTGGATGAGCACACTGCACAGATACGCCCCCTCATCCGCACCCTTCTGCACATCGCTCAACTTCAGAGTGCCATTCTCATACACCACCTGACGATGGTTGTCTGGCAACGGCGTTGTCCCGTCTTTGAACCACTTGATAGAGTAATAGGGGTAGCCAATCACACGACAGTTAATGAAAGTGTTGCGTCCGGCCACAGCTGTGATATTCCGCATGGCCCGGATACTGGGAGGACCTGCAAGAGAGAGAAAAGAAAGAGAAAGAAAGAGAGAGCGAGAGAGAGAGAGGGGGGAAAACGGAGGAAGACAAAAAAAGAGGGAGAATGTGCCAGGTAGAAAAGGGTAAATGAGAAGATTGAAAGGAGTGAATGAGAGGGAGATGGGAGACCAGGTTTTGCATGGGTATTTGGGGTAAAGAAGGGAGAAATGTGGGCGGAAGAAAGGAAAAGAGCAAATGGTGGATGTGAAGGAGGGGGTTAGAATGCTCTTGGTCTACACAGCAGAGAATGTGGTGTAATAGGTGTGTGCATCTACTGTTTCAATGTATCTTGTACCGTATCCTTCATCATAGCTTGGCACATAGGCACATATCGTAGAGACGAACCATGCCTTTATATAATTTCAGCAAAGGTGTGTTTCTGTACCGTTAGCTTAATACGCCAAGTTAATGCATTTCATAGTAAAGCAATGTGTGGTGTAATCTTAACTATAAAATACTAACCTAATGTGTTTGTGTAGGCAGAGTAAAAATACAACATCACATTTCATAGCAACGTCCCAAAACACACATTTAAAGGATTGAGGACTGCGAGAGCAGAGGCCTTAGAATTACTTTAGCAAAACTGTGCCATGGTAAATCAAAGAGTTGTGGTTGAATAGCTAAATGCTAACAGCTACTGAATAGCTTTTAACAATAAAGGCTATAATGTTGTGCTGCTTGTGTAAAGTGTAAGGTGGCGTTCACACTGACAGCGAATTTAACATTAGAGCTTGTCAACTCGCTGTACTGCCCTACTGAAACAACAACAACAAAAAAATATTAATATATTTATCATAAATAAATAAATAAATATAGCTTGTCAGGTCAGGCTGGTCTGTTTTGGTGGCTTTGGGGTACTTTTTAGCATTTAAGTCCAGTTTAAACAGGTAAACACCATGTTAGCTAGGCTAGGAGATTAGCTAAGTCAGCTTCAACCAACTAAAGCCGGCAAAACATCTTATGTAGAAAATCTAGTTCATGCATTTATGACCTCTAGACTGGACTATTGTAAGGCACTACCAAGTGGTTATCCTGCATCTTCAATAAACCCAAATGCAGTTAATCCAAAATGCAGCTGCTAGAGATCTTACCAGGTCAAGAAAATATGATCATACCACCCAAATTTTACAATCTCCACACTGGTTACCTATTAAGTTCTGTATCGATTACAAATAATTATTATTTACTTATAAGGCCCCAAATTGTTAAGCTATAGTGTACTTCTAAAACCAGTCATCTATCATTTTACAATCCATCACATTATTTAAAGTCGCAAAACTCTGAACTTTTGGTAGTACCTGTGATAGCAAAGTCCACAAAAGGAGAGCGTTTTTGCATTTGACTCCTACACTCTGGAATAAACTTTCTGATAATGTTTGGGGCTCAGACACACTCTCTCCGTTTAAATCTAGATCAAAGACACATCTCTTTTGACAAGCATTCACATAATGCATCTCATAACTTTGTACTACAGTATCTGATCAAATGCACATTATTATTCTTTTCTTGAAAAGTCACGAACAGCAGCTATGCTAATTATTCTCTATTTGCCTTTCTTTCTACCTCGGGATGCCCATCCCAAGGTAACTAGACTGCACAGGCTCCAGTCGGGATCTGGCCTCTTGCGAGGACCTCAGATAACGCTAAGTCTGAATAAATAAACAAAACTCCCAAATTTTCCTTACATTGTAATTATTTTGATCACAACATGTAGTCAGTGTGTTCAATTAATCGTGTTCATTGTGTTCTGCATGAATACATGTCATTAACTAACTGTATTATCCTAGAAATGTTCATTTCTGCCATATTGACATTGCTTTGACAGTCACCTCTCAAAACAATGTAATGTAGAGATATGCATCTCATGTAAAGCAGCTCTGAAATGATATGCACTATATGAAATGTACTATACAAATAAACTTGATTTGAATTAAATTTAACCTTAGGCTTGTTTTGATTGCTAGTACGCATTCCTGCTCAATCGTGAAGCAGATAATGTAAGCTCCACTGTCTGGTAGTCGCTGTGCATTTGCATAAAGTTTGCTTAGATTTGTCACAAATTTTGGTCTCTAGTAACCTCACCAACTATGGCTGCAACTTACTCTGTTGCTGCAAATCGCTGTCAGTGCGAATGCCCTTTAATGTGATTAGCATATGCTAACAGCTTCTGGTTCTTTCTAGCATAACCAGTCATTGCCAAATTTGAAAAGGTTAGCAATGACCGATTCGTGTTTGTTTTGTTTTGTTTTCTTTGTTTTGGCAAAAATAGAAGGCTGACTTCTTCAGGACTCTGCTCTCAGATCACACACGAGGATGGAGGGGTGTACGAACAAATGGATGGTGGGACACTGTGAAGATTTGAATGGCCAATGCCAGAAGATGCAAAACAAAAAGAAACAGAAAGAGTCAGAACTGAGACAAGGTGGCTTACGAGTAAAAAAAAACAGAGGAACCAGAAGAATGAGAAGATGTACTGTAGAAGGACATTTTATTTGCCTCAAAATGGAGGGTGGATCGGTTTATAAATCGTCGATGGGGCATATGTAGATTTTTTGCACACAAATATTCTCATCCTCTCTAACAGCCCACTCCTCATCCTCGTATCTCTCTCTTTTCTTCTGTTGCTCTCTCTCCCTTTCTCTCAGCTCAGCGTGCGTTGTGCTTTGAAGTCACCGCTCTGACAAGTCAACCCTGATGTATTATTCAAGAAGACTGTCGCACAGTATCCCTCTTCTCTCTTCTTCACAGTTATTCTCTGGCTGTCTTTATATTTCTCTATTTTTCTTTTGTTCTCAAACATAATATATGAATGTATGAACTTAGATAAGGATCCAGACAGGAACTGAGCACAGCTATTGTGCTGTTCACAGGAAGAACGGGGCCTGATTGCTCACGGGTGTCTGTGTTTGTTAAATATTGTGTTGCGAAACGATCATCTCAAGAATAAAAGCGTGTGTGTGATATGGATAGGGTGTGTGTGAAAGTCAATGCTGACGGTTTTCATGAGCGTAATGCGGTCAGAGTGTATTAGTCAGGCAGTAGAGTTTTAAGACTATGAGTGTGTCCATGAGCGTTGGTATCATTCAGCGTGTGTGCGCAAAACTGTGGCTCCCTGGCACAGGGTCTCATTCTCACTGCAATGATTGTTCTGGCATGTCTCCTTAAAGCAGACAGATATGTCATAACTGAACATTTCAGAGAGCGAGAGAGAGGAAGAGAGGGTGTATTCAACAGGCCTGTTAACACGACTCAATATCACTCTTAGTCTGAGGCTCAGACAACACGCCCATGGACCGCCCACAGTCCGTTCACTGACCGTTTGATGCATAATATGCCCAAAACTGTCTCGATCTTGTAAACTTAATCTGTTTGACTGACTGAATGCAACTTTTAGAGCTATGGCACAATGGGATTTATCTGTCTGACCGGAAGTCTTTGTATACAAGGTATCGGGTTGATAGAAAAAGTGATTCTGTGGATAAAATTATTACTGGAATTGTCAATGTTTGTCAGGTAAGTGGCATCAGATATATAAAAGATATTCAAGGTCAGACTGTTACTCCCTTTCAAATGTACCAAACAGTATCAGTTTTTTGAGGCACTTAGTACCAAGTTATCTAGGTAACCATGAGCAGAACTTTGAATTCCACTTTGTGAAATAATCATTACTCATTGCTAATCTAAAGATTGAAAAATCTATAGATTAGATAGTCTATATACATTTGCCACTGTTTTTCTTGGACTTTCCATGATAGTATTTAACATTGGCATGAAATTCACCCTATCTACTTTGTAAATGTATGTGTCCCCAAAAATTACATAACTTGATAATAACTCGTCACAACTTGATTTTTCGGGGAAACGACAGACTTATCTCTGGTGATGAATACCAGACTTCTCAACATAATTTAGTCCGCTTAAACACCATCCAACCACAACTGACTACAAATTTTCATTCATTTTTGAGCAAAACGGCCACATATCAAAATCCTAACAGTGACCGATGGATAAAATCAAGTCCCTGGTGTACATACTTTTTCAATAATTCATACAGAATTAGAGAGGAAAAAAGAAGAAATCACAATATATCATAATACAGATGAAAACATTTAATTGCTACTTTAAATCCTCTTTTTCCCACTGGCCTTTTATTATGGTGTCTTCTAATCTTCTATATTCTAATAATAATAATAAACACTTCTAAACTACACATAAAAATTAGCTGTGGTCAGTCATATTTTGTGTTAGTGCACTCTGACTTGCTTCCCCATTTGTGTCCTCTTGTCTTTTCTCTGCTCCACTTCTCTCCTTTCCTCTTCTTTGAGTTTTTCTTTGAGTTTTTAAAGGTGCAATAGGTGATTGTCTTCAAAAACATTTTTTTGTTATGCTGGTTGAAAGTCTCTTCACATCCCGATAGCAATCATTAAGTTAAGTGGTCTAAATGTATTTATCTGTATTTATATATTCTGTGGAAGACGTAGAACCAAGAAATGTTCGTCCAATCAAAACGCTCGGCCCGAGCATCTTAATTGGCTTTCCTACCTGCCTGTCAATGTATGTATTAGCATACCTCTGCGCCCCCTGTTCGCGCAGACAGGATACGTCATCAGCGCATTCACGTATGCTGTGCAGACAGAGCAAGGATGGTAGACAAACATCAACAACCCGATCTTCCTTCCTGGTATTGTAGTACTTTTACTAACTGTAGTATAAAGTTTTCGCTCTGGTGAATGATACATGAAGTAGTCCAGCGATTCCCAATTCCCCCTGCATGTTTTTCAAGTCTCGCTTAGTTAACACACCTGATTCAGATAACCAGCTCTTTAGAAGAGAGCTACATGCATGAACTGTGTTCCAGGAAGGGCGCGAGGACTGGAATTGGGAACCGCTGATGTAGCCTATTGTAGAAATGTTGTCTCTGGTATTCTGGACTGTCAGCGTATATGCGTTCCGCTTGAACAAAGCGAACATCCCACCTTCTCTGCAATCGCCGTCCAAAGCCACGCCCCCTGCCCACCCTCTCTGCAATCGCCGTCCAAAGCCATGCCCCCTGCGTGGCTTTGGACAGCAATTGCAGAGAGGGTGGGACATTCGCTTTCAGTGCTATCAGGCTAAAGTTAGCATTTTCCAAGATCTCCTACTGAACCTGGGTGAACTAACATTTTAATGATTACCTGTTACTGAAAACATCTTGTAGTGATTGTGTAGGACACAGTGTAACTTGCTTAAAAGTCATAGTAATCTAAATTTGGAACTTTGATGTCCAAAAATAAATGTACACTGCAGAGTTAGAATCAGAACCACAACCTTCAGCGCTATTCCATTATCCACTCTTTCCACTCACCCTCAAGCAGTATGATGGAGAAGTCCTGTGCTGTCTGACCCTTGCGGGTGGCGAAGCACTGGTATGCCCCTGAGTGTCTTTTTTGGGCTGCCGTGATGAAGAGAGTCTCGTTGTGGGCTCCCTGGATGGAGAAGTGCTGGTCAGGCACGATGGGTTCTGTGTTGCGAAACCAGGAGACGGCGAAGTGAGGCGAGCCCTGAACGGCACAGGACAGAATCACTGTGCTGCTGATGCCTGTTTTCAGGTTCTTGGGGGATAATGTGACTCTTAGAGGCTCTGTGGAGAAAAAGAAAGTCAGAGTGAAAAATATTATTTGAGTCTGAGGGTAAAGTTTTGTCTAAAAATGTAAATTATGCTGTCTAGATAGATAGATAGATAGAGAACAGACAGACATACACATAGATAGAGAAAATGTCAGTGAGCAATAAGGCAGCTGGTGTTATGTGCTGGAGGCCTCTGTGTGTGATGGTGTGTGTGTCTGGGCATGTATGCGTGCGTGTGCCCTCCTCCCCTCCTGTTCTGTCAGAATCTGTGTGAGCACACCGGTGTGATGTGCCCACTGGCTAAACGTCCAAATGTCCACCCCACCTCCCCTTCCTCTATTCCCCTCTTCCTTTCATATTAAGACTCCAGCCAATACCATCCCACTGGTCTAAGATCCATCCCCAAGCCTGCTTGAAAACACACACACATTTCTGGTGGAACAGAGGTCAGACTGGAGAGGCCAGAACAGTCTTCATGTGCTCTCATATTACGTTCTCTGTAATTCAACAAGAAGGTGGCAGAGGCCGACCAGTGTGCCAACATCTCTTAAATCCAAATGTGCTTCTCGTTTACTCACTCCCTGGTACACTACATTTGACATCTCTCTCTCTCCCTATGACACAGTTGCACAGGACATCTGGGGCAATCGATTGGTCCAACGGCCTGGTGATGGACCAACATAACCTGGACCCTCTCATCTGGATGAAAAGGTATGGACATTTCAGGACTTTGTAAGAGATAGACCAACAGTTTGCTCCATAAACCCTTATAAGTGACCCAGATTCACTGGTCTCAAGTTTTTAATTCTTGGGTCAACCCTTCTACAGAACTATGAAAGGTGGGTACTCCCATAGGACAAGCCAAAACTATGTGGCAAATGTCCTCATCCCTGTTCAGGAAGAAAAACCATCCAGCAGGGCTTAGTTTCAACTCCAATATGCCTGAGCCAGTTAATAAATTTCCTTGGGTTTAGTTGAAAATTGCATGTAGGTTAATTGGAAGCAAGGTTAGAACTAAATCTAAAAGAAGGTTGATCTCTTGGAACAAGGATAAGGACACCTGCCATAAGTTTTTGGTTTCTGCTTTGGGGAATAGACTAGGTGACTCTGAAGTTGGACATGTTCCTGGACCTTTTGTTAGTTCTGTAAGAACATAAAGTCAAACAAACATAATTATAATCCTACTTTTACTGTAGGTTGAAAATAAAGATGTTGAAGCTCCAACCAGCTCTTTCCCATAACTAACTTAAGTACTATTTAATAGGAATGTTGTTCCTGCACAATGATGTTGATCCAGGAATATGTCCTACTTAATGAAGCGAAATGGGTGATAAGATTCTGCCAAGTAGGACATGTTCCTAAATATTTAGTTGGTCCTGAAAGAAGATTCCAAGTAGCGAACAAAATCCTTTCTCTGTTATCAGACTCATAAGAGTGATGTTTAAGGTCCTCTCACAGCCCTGTATGCCTAACCTTAAAATCCAAGTTCAAAGGAATGTGGGACATACAAGGATGTTGATCAAAGGACATATCTTGCTTGAATCTATGGCAAGGTGAAGGTAACTTGGAACTTTTGAAAAGCTTGTCTTTTTCCCTCACCAGCAGTTTATTGGTGACATCTTTCATCATTTACTCCTGTCCTATCACCAGTCCCTCTTCTTGTACCTCCCCTCTTTCCCTTTTGCCCTTTATTTCTTTTCTCCTCACCGATGACATTAAGGTGTCCTGTGACCTCTTTGGAGCCGAAGCTGTTGGTGACTTCACAGATGTAGTTTCCAGAGTCTTCCAGACGGAGGTCGCTAATTGTGAGGCCAGTTAGTCGCCGTGTCCAGCGGGAGTCAGCAGGAAGTGGCCTCCCATCTTTCAACCAGCGGATGGTGGGGTTGGGGTAACCGGAGGCGATGCAGGGCAACTCTATGCTTCGCCCCACTTGTACTTCTCCTGACTGGAAACTGTCCATCACAGAAGGCGGGGTTTCAGTGGGGTCTAAGGACAGAGATATAGTTCTTTAAAAAAGACCAATCAATTCTTGCCAATTAATGTATAGTCATTTACATACATAAGCCTTAAAGCTACAGTAGCAAAACTGCCGATTAATGGTCTGATAAATGGAAGAAAATGCTCATGTTAAACAAAATTACAGCTATGTGTTCTTTAAGAACCATTGACTAACATCATAAGTAGACTTTAGGGAAGACATATACAGTTAAAATGTAGGGGACACTCTCTTTAAAAATTGAATGACATAAATTAGGATCTCAATGCTATTTCTCAAAGAAACGTATCAAAGACAGTAACAAATCCAATTATGAGAATATGCTTAGTGCATTAGGATTGACAAATGATGTGCAACTGCCCAGCAAACTGACATAAACCCACATACTCACCCAGCACAGAGAGACGAGCCCCATTGCTCTGCCTGGTTTCTCCGCTGTACTTGTGCTTGGTGATGCAGCGGTAGGTAGAGAGGGCATCCTCTTTCTGAACGTCAGATATGTAGAGGGCCCCATATGATGTCAGGAAAAACCTGTTACCTGAAGAGAGAGGAGAACAGATGACATGTACATTGATTTTATTGGCCTACAAAAAGTAGATTTTCCATAAGTCCATTTAGTACCAACTTCATATGCAACTCTTCAACCACAGATCAGTTATCCTATTCAAAATCCGTCATCAGACTTTTACAAAATTCCAAACAGTTATAACTGGTAAAAAAAAAAAAAACTGGAGTTACAAATCATCCAGAAATATGTTTATGAAGTCACCACATTCAAAAAACTAATATGAATTTTTGAAGGACACAGCAAGTAATCCATTACAAAGTAAGAAAGAGAGAGTGTTTTAATATTTGATGTGTATGTTATTGTAACAGTATATTACTGTCACGGTCACTTTACATCAGCGATGCCTGACTCTGATTTATCTGTACATTCACGAAGGCAGCAACCAGAAGTGTGTGAATGCTTCTCTTTCACTTTCAGTATTTTTTTATTCAATTCAGTACATTTTAGCTGTGAGTGTTTCTGACACAAAAGACTTTGAAAATTCACAAATAAGATGTTTGATGTACTGATTGTGTATGTGTGTGTGTGTGTGTGTGTGTTTGTTTTAGAATTTATATACACACTATTTGAATTCAAAATATGAGATAAGGGTCTAAATTGTTTCTCCTTGGGGGCAAAATGCCTTCTCAGGTTTGTATAGATCATCAGGAACATATAAGAAGAGGTTGATACTTAATTTAGAAAACTGAGAAGTCTCCTTGCTATAAAAGAGCAACCTAAAAGCAATAAAAATGTTCCTTTGGGATGACTTAGGTGTGTGTAGTGTGTAAAAGCAGAGTTTGTGTGTGTTCTGCTAAACTGCACATCCTGGACACAATAACAACAGAAAAGTATGTCAGTGTGTGAGAACAGCCAGTCAGTCCCTGTGTGTGTGTGTGTGTGTGTCCTAGTTTCTCCAGGCAGGCAGGACATGTGGATTGGGCCAACCGCACCGTTATGAGAAAACTAACTGAACTGGAAATATAAAAACTCACAAAACACACTCTGTCTGACACAAACACAGATATAAACACTACATGTGACTCATTAAAAATGTGAAGATGTCTTTATATATTTATGCTGAGGTATCATTAGTTGACTGCCATGTGTCTTGTTTATCCCTCTATATTAGGACACACTTGTGCATTCAAAACTCACTCAACAAGACACAACGTTCCTATAGAAAGCAGGATTACCCTGAAAGTGAAGTGTAGAAAGTGTGTGTGTGTGTGTGTGTGTGTGTGTGTGTGTGTGTGTGTGTGTGTGTGTGTGTGGGGGGGGTGGCGATGGGTGTGTTTTATCTCCTTAATGAAGCGAAATGGGTGATAAGATTCTGCCAAGTAGGACATGTTCCTAAATATTTAGTTGGTCCTGAAAGAAGATTCCAAGTAGCGAACAAAATCCTTTCTCTGTTATCAGACTCATAAGAGTGATGTTTAAGGTCCTCTCACAGCCCTGTATGCCTAACCTTAAAATCCAAGTTCAAAGGAATGTGGGACATACAAGGATGTTGATCAAAGGAAATATCTTGCTTGAATCTATGGCAAGGTGAAGGTAACTTGGAACTTTTGAAAAGCTTGTCTTTTTCCCTCACCAGCAGTTTATTGGTGACATCTTTCATCATTTACTCCTGTCCTATCACCAGTCCCTCTTCTTGTACCTCCCCTCTTTCCCTTTTGCCCTTTATTTCTTTTCTCCTCACCGATGACATTAAGGTGTCCTGTGACCTCTTTGGAGCCGAAGCTGTTGGTGACTTCACAGATGTAGTTTCCAGAGTCTTCCAGACGGAGGTCGCTGATTGTGAGGCCGGTCAGTCGCCGTGTCCAGCGGGAGTCAGCAGGAAGTGGCCTCCCATCTTTCAACCAGCGGATGGTGGGGTTGGGGTAACCGGAGGCGATGCAGGGCAACTCTATGCTTCGCCCCACTTGTACTTCTCCTGACTGGAAACTGTCCATCACAGAAGGCGGGGTTTCAGTGGGGTCTAAGGACAGAGATATAGTTCTTTAAAAAAGACCAATCAATTCTTGCCAATTAATGTATAGTCATTTACATACATAAGCCTTAAAGCTACAGTAGCAAAACTGCCGATTAATGGTCTGATAAATGGAAGAAAATGCTCATGTTAAACAAAATTACAGCTATGTGTTCTTTAAGAACCATTGACTAACATCATAAGTAGACTTTAGGGAAGACATATACAGTTAAAATGTAGGGGACACTCTCTTTAAAAATTGAATGACATAAATTAGGATCTCAATGCTATTTCTCAAAGAAACGTATCAAAGACAGTAACAAATCCAATTATGAGAATATGCTTAGTGCATTAGGATTGACAAATGATGTGCAACTGCCCAGCAAACTGACATAAACCCACATACTCACCCAGCACAGAGAGACGAGCCCCATTGCTCTGCCTGGTTTCTCCGCTGTACTTGTGCTTGGTGATGCAGCGGTAGGTAGAGAGGGCATCCTCTTTCTGAACGTCAGATATGTAGAGGGCCCCATATGATGTCAGGAAAAACCTGTTACCTGAAGAGAGAGGAGAACAGATGACATGTACATTGATTTTATCTACAAAAAGTAGATTTTCCATAAGTCCATTTAGTACCAACTTCATATGCAACTCTTCAACCACAGATCAGTTATCCTATTCAAAATCCGTCATCAGACTTTTACAAAATTCCAAACAGTTATAACTGGTAAAAAAAAAAAACTGGAGTTACAAATCATCCAGAAATATGTTTATGAAGTCACCACATTCAAAAACTAATATGAATTTTTGAAGGACACAGCAAGTAATCCATTACAAAGTAAGAAAGAGAGAGTGTTTTAATATTTGATGTGTATGTTATTGTAACAGTATATTACTGTCACGGTCACTTTACATCAGCGATGCCTGACTCTGATTTATCTGTACATTCACGAAGGCAGCAACCAGAAGTGTGTGAATGCTTCTCTTTCACTTTCAGTATTTTTTTATTCAATTCAGTACATTTTAGCTGTGAGTGTTTCTGACACAAAAGACTTTGAAAATTCACAAATAAGATGTTTGATGTACTGATTGTGTATGTGTGTGTGTGTGTGTGTGTGTTTGTTTTAGAATTTATATACACACTATTTGAATTCAAAATATGAGATAAGGTTCTAAATTGTTTCTCCTTGGGGGCAAAATGCCTTCTCAGGTTTGTATAGATCATCAGGAACATATAACAAGAGGTTGATACTTAATTTAGAAAACTGAGAAGTCTCCTTGCTATAAAAGAGCAACCTAAAAGCAATAAAAATGTTCCTTTGGGATGACTTAGGTGTGTGTAGTGTGTAAAAGCAGAGTTTGTGTGTGTTCTGCTAAACTGCACATCCTGGACACAATAACAACAGAAAAGTATGTCAGTGTGTGAGAACAGCCAGTCAGTCCCTGTGTGTGTGTGTGTGTGTGTCCTAGTTTCTCCAGGCAGGCAGGACATGTGGATTGTTGTTTTAGAATTTATATACACACTATTTGAATTCAAAATATGAGATAAGGGTCTAAATTGTTTCTCCTTGGGGGCAAAATGCCTTCTCAGGTTTGTATAGATCATCAGGAACATATAAGAAGAGGTTGATACTTAATTTAGAAAACTGAGAAGTCTCCTTGCTATAAAAGAGCAACCTAAAAGCAATAAAAATGTTCCTTTGGGATGACTTAGGTGTGTGTAGTGTGTAAAAGCAGAGTTTGTGTGTGTTCTGCTAAACTGCACATCCTGGACACAATAACAACAGAAAAGTATGTCAGTGTGTGAGAACAGCCAGTCAGTCCCTGTGTGTGTGTGTGTGTGTGTCCTAGTTTCTCCAGGCAGGCAGGACATGTGGATTGGGCCAACCGCACCGTTATGAGAAAACTAACTGAACTGGAAATATAAAAACTCACAAAACACACTCTGTCTGACACAAACACAGATATAAACACTACATGTGACTCATTAAAAATGTGAAGATGTCTTTATATATTTATGCTGAGGTATCATTAGTTGACTGCCATGTGTCTTGTTTATCCCTCTATATTAGGACACACTTGTGCATTCAAAACTCACTCAACAAGACACAACGTTCCTATAGAAAGCAGGATTACCCTGAAAGTGAAGTGTAGAAAGTGTGTGTGTGTGTGTGTGTGTGTGTGTGTGTGTGTGTGTGTGTGTGTGTGTGTGTGTGGGGGAGGGCGAGCGG